GTTTATTATATACTATATAGTATAGACTAACCAAAAAAAAAAATTATATATATATATATATATATCAATTTTACTATAGCATTAAATTATTTCATATGTTTTGCTTTTTTCCTACTCTTATCTCATTTTGCTGACACCTAGAATAGTTGTCCATGATAAAGTATAGATTCTTCTATTCAGTAGCTCGAATGGTAGGTGAAGTAGGTTATAAACTAGTTGGACTGCTAGCTAAAATAGAAGATAGAGTTTGAAAGAAAAACCAAAACATGTGACTTCTATATTTTCTACGAATTATAGTTATCAAAACTCATCAGCATTTTGTGTTTATATATGATTTATTAAGGCAAAGATTTCATAGATTTTAATGCTATTTTTCTTCTCTTTTTTTGTGTGTGTGTGTAGCTATGGCAACTAGAGACTCTGCTTCTACAAAAAGACACATACCTAAATTACAGTCAAGCATTGAGCTATACAAGCCAAGCATTGAGCCAAAACCTTCAAGGGCTAAGAAAAAAGAGTCGAATACATCGAATGAGTTCGGATTTCGTCTATTGCATGCAAGAGAATTGGAAAAGGATATGGGTTTTGTCCTTATGGGTCATGATCATGATTGGATTATTCTTGTGGAAGTTCTTCCAATACAAGCAAAAAGATGCGTTCCATGTGATGGGTTATTGTCTACTCACAGCAAAAGGAGCAGCTGAGACACTTAAGTTCAACATGGCTCTAATACTTTTCCCGGTTTGCAGAAACACCATTACTTGGCTTAGATCAACGAGACTCTCTTGCTTCGTTCCTTTTGATGATAACATCAACTTCCACAAGGTTAGTATAGTGAGAGCTTTTTTTAAAAAACCTTTTTGTTTGTTTCTTTTGATTTCTACTTTAGCAAAAAATTTTGGGGTCCATAGGAACTTTCTTTTCGTGCTTCTTCTATAGAAGTCAAAACCAATAATACTAAATTGAATGGGATACAAAAACCTCTTCGAACGCAATGTGCTGTCGAAAAAGCTGAGAATGTTGTGGGGCTCTTATTCTTTGTGCACGCACTTGAACGTTGACATGACAGCTACACAGCTACCTATTTCGATTTCTCACTTCTTTCTTCTTTTTGCCACAAAAGAAAAGTGAATAAACCAAATAAGGCATGTGAAATCTTTGGTTCGGTTAGGAAAGTTTTATACCAAATTTTGAACTTTGCAATAAAAAGACAACCTTATACATATGTTCTTTAAGGTTTACATTATTTACATTGTTATGTGCAGACAATTGCTGGAGCCATTGTAGTAGCAGTGATCCTTCACATTGGAGACCATCTTGTTTGTGATTTCCCTAGAATTGTTAAAGCCACTGAATACGATTACAATCGTTATCTGTTTCATTACTTCCAGACAAAACAGCCAACATACTTCGACCTCGTTAAGGGTCCTGAAGGGATCACAGGGATTTTAATGGTCATTTTGATGATTATTTCATTCACATTAGCAACAAGATGGTTTAGGCGTAACCTCGTCAAGCTTCCTAAGCCATTTGATAGGCTTACCGGTTTTAACGCCTTTTGGTATTCTCATCATTTGTTCGTCATTGTCTATATCTTGCTTATCCTTCACGGTATCTTCCTCTATTTCGCCAAGCCTTGGTATGTTCGCACGGTAAGTCTCTATGACTCTAAGCTCCTTAATTGTTGGTACATATAAAATCTTGATATTGATTTTGAGATGTTGTTTTTTTTTTTGCAGACATGGATGTATCTTGCAGTACCTATTTTACTCTATGGTGGAGAAAGAACACTTAGATACTTCCGTTCTGGTTCTTATTCCGTTCGACTTCTTAAGGTACCAAAACAGAGGACTCTGTTTTCTCTGTTTTTTACTCATGTGCCTTGTAGAAAAAGCTAACTTTTGCTGATTCTTTGGTTTAGGTTGCTATATATCCTGGTAATGTTCTGACGCTACAAATGTCGAAACCAACACAATTTCGTTACAAAAGCGGACAATACATGTTTGTTCAATGTCCTGCAGTTTCGCCATTCGAATGGTAACAAAGCTACTTAAAAAAAACTGTTTTTGTTACTAATTTGCTAATATTTCTTTACTAATTTGTATTTCGTTTTAGGCATCCATTCTCCATTACTTCAGCACCTGAAGATGATTATCTCAGCATTCACATTAGACAACTTGGAGATTGGACTCAAGAACTCAAAAGAGTGTTCTCTGAAGTTTGTGAACCACCTGTTGCTGGTAAAAGTGGACTTCTTAGAGCTGACGAAACAACAAAGACAAGGTATAACCTAAAAACAAACACCAAACACTTATAAATTAACCAAATGCTGATATGTTTAGGTAAATGTTGTTTCAGTTTGCCAAAGCTATTGATAGATGGACCGTACGGTGCACCAGCTCAAGACTATAGGAAATATGATGTTCTCTTGTTAGTTGGTCTTGGCATTGGTGCGACTCCATTTATCAGTATCTTAAAAGATTTGCTTAACAACATTGTCAAAATGGAAGAGCATGCGGTAATAAACAAAATCTTGTCTTCTTCTCTTTTGTGCAAACAGTTTAGGCGATGTGAATTTGATAAATGTTTATACATCTTCAGGATTCGATCTCGGATTTTAGTAGATCATCAGAACACAGCACAGGAAGCAACGGTGATACGCCAAGACGAAAGAAAATACTAAAAACCACAAATGCTTACTTCTATTGGGTCACAAGAGAACAAGGCTCTTTTGATTGGTTCAAAGGTGTTATGAACGAAGTTGCAGAACTTGACCAACGGGTATAAAACAAACTCAAAAACATTTCTTGACACAATCAAAATCTTCCCAAGAAGATTCAATTTTGAGAAATCAAAGTTTTTTGTGGAACAGGGTGTGATAGAGATGCATAACTATTTGACGAGTGTGTACGAAGAAGGTGATGCTCGTTCTGCTCTCATTACAATGGTTCAAGCTCTTAATCATGCCAAGAACGGAGTCGACATTGTCTCTGGCACTAGGGTACGTAACTTTCTTCTTCTGACCAAAATACAAGTCGTGATTCTTTTGATTTCCTAAAACGGTCCCAAAGCTATCATTTGTGGAAAAATGAACCCCCACACACAACTCCAAATCATTGAAAATCTTCAAAAAAATTTTCAGGTTAGAACACACTTTGCAAGACCTAATTGGAAGAAGGTTCTCACTAAGCTAAGTTCCAAGCATTGCAATGCAAGGATAGGTAACAAACATTACTAACCTCCATACATTTCTAATCTTCACAAAAAGTAAACACTCTCAAGACCTAGTCACGTTAGTCCCCACAATAAGTTTCGTTTTCTGTATACGTGTTCCGTGGACAATAAGTTTTATTTTCTGTATCCGTATTCCGAGGGCAATAAGTTTCATTGTCAGTTCTATCACAATCAAGATCCAGGTTTCGATTAAAGTGACTTTATATTTTTGTTGCAGGAGTGTTTTACTGCGGAGTACCGGTTTTAGGGAAAGAGCTTAGCAAACTCTGCAACACATTCAACCAAAAAGGTTCAACAAAGTTCGAGTTTCACAAGGAGCATTTCTAAAAGACAAGAAGAAGGAAGAAGAAGCCATGAAAGCCCTCTAGATTCTTTAATATCTCACATTTAGCCACTTATTATAGTATAGAAGCACACTATTAATTCAAAGTGATTAAACGTTAACACACTGTCAAAAGTGAGTGTGTTAACGTTTAAATCCACACGTTCTAGGTTTTTTTTTCATATACACCGAGGCATACGTGTAAATATAAGAGACAGAAGAAATTAAAGAGGGAAGAGTTGGATAGAAGCATATAGTAAAAAAAAATCTTACAATTTCTTGTATAGCAAGAGAATGAGATGAGGAGAGATTCTAGAAAAGAGGTGAGAGAGGTTTGGTGAGGGAAAGAGACAGTAATACGACGTCGTTATCGGAAGTGCAATACAGCTGCAGGGAAGAGAGAGCTAATAATGGGGTTTGATAAGGTCCATGTGATTAGGAAGATGATGACACTTTGGGGGATTCTTTTTGCTATTTTTAAGTGATTTTTTATGCTCTTTTTTAATAAATTCTTAGTGGAGTCGGTGAAAGAGAGACTATAGTTTCTAGAATCATTGGGAAAAGAATAAGAGGAATACAAATATTTTGTCATAACGTAAGGTGTACAAAGCATAATATTTGATAAGTTTCTATTTGTTTCCTCTCTTTAAAATACAAAGCATTCAGGTGTTGAACCGTTCTAGTCATAGCTCATCAGCTATTATATCAGTCACACAACTCACGATAGATTAGAAGTGGTATACCGTTTCCATATATTCATTGCCGATCGTTAAAAAGTTACTAAATCATACGCACTCACTCTTGTAAATGCTATAATACCCATTTGTTGATGATGGCACACAATATCAATTCGTTTAATCAACCATTTTGGCCACTACACCCACATATCAAAAGATCAAAATAGTTAAGGCCCAATAGAATACATGGTCACAAAACTTATTAAAAAGTTTAGTCTATGACCCATTTAACAAAAATGGAGTCCAGTGGTCGTCTTATGTGGGAAAATGAACTAATTCTGTTGTTACAGTAAAGGACTCAGCAGGAGTTGGACCTTGTTTCTAGAACTAGAAGCCTTTTTAAGACAAAAACACAACGAAAAGACTTGAGACCAAACAACCATATAACATTAGTCTCGATTGTAAAACAAATACGAAATAGTACAAAAGCCCACTAGTCACCACTAGTTAACGTCAAATTAGAAGTAAGAAATTTTCTACAAATTCTAGTTTGGAACTTGGATTCAAAAAGACTAGGAAGACAAATAAAGTCAAGTGTCACGTACCCATACTTGATATAAACACAAAATCAACTATTTGTTAGACTGTCCCAAAATTGATAAAAGAGAAAACTCAAAACACAAATTCAAAGTTTTCCCATAATTGCGAGAAAAGACAACAAAGAATAAAATAAAATAAATCAACACGAGAGGGAGGAGATGGAGATCATTCAAAGCCTCCTAAAAAGACTTAACCCAAAAGAAAACAAACCAACGCGTAAGCGAAAGACTCTTCACTCAACAGGAACACGACACGTGTCCTCCATAAAATCCTCTTTTAACCGCCAAAAAAGAAACCACCCACTCTTCCATTAACAAGTAACTCTCCCTCTCCTCTTCTTCATCTTCTTCATCTTCCTCTGATCTCTCTAAACAACAAAACAAAAAATGGTAGAAGAAGATCGGATCACGTTAGCTCCGACGGAGATCTACGGCCGGAGCGACGAGGAACAGAACAACGAACCAAGAATCTGGCGTCGGAAAACAGAGGAACCACCAGGGAAATGTCTAGTCTATTCCTTGACTATAATCGTAATCGTCTTCGCAGTTTGTCTCATCCTCTCTTCGATCTTTCTCCGTATTTCAAAACCAGAGATCGAAACAAGATCTGTATCGACTCGAGATCTTCGGTCCGGAGGTAACTCAACAAACCCTTACTTCAACGCCACGCTAGTAAGCGACATTTCCATCAGGAACTCGAACTTTGGCGCGTTCGAGTTCGAGGATAGTTCGTTACGTGTTGTCTACGCTGATCATGGAGTTGTGGGAGAGGCTACGATCCCAGGGAGAAGAGTTGAAGCTCATAAGACGGTTAGAATAACCGGTGTTGTGGTTGAGATCGGTTCGTTTCGGTTATTGGATAGGAAGGGTTTGGAATTGGATTTAAGATCAGGGTTTTTGGAACTGAGGAGTGTCGCTGAAGTTAGAGGAAGGATTAAGGTTTTGGGGAGGAGGAGATGGAAGGTTAGTGTTATGAGTTGTACCATGAGACTTAATTTAACCAATCGGTTTATTCAAAATTTGTTTTGTGATTAGTTGTGATTTATCCGGTTTAAGGAGATTTTATTCGTTTCTTTGGGTTTTGATCGTAAATTCGTAAAGATAATTAATAATATTTTTGTTTTGATGTGAAGAATATAAAGGTGAATTAAAATTAAATAAGACTTTTCTCAAAGCTGTAGTTAAATGCATTAATGGTGAATTTAATTGACTCAAACCCCACATTTTGGACTCATTCATGTTGATACGCACATCACATGGACGTTGACATACATACGTACTTATGTGAAATTAGATCAATTGATTCGGTTTTGTGATCCGGTTTAGTTAAGAAGATTTTACTTTTGTTGTTGTTTCTGTTTGGGTGTTTTATGGTTTGTGATATTGTGATTTAATGGTCAATTTTGGAGTTTTTCAAAAATTACCAAGAATTTTCTCAATGACTCTTAATGGTAAAATAAAGTTGGAAAACTTCTCAAGACCCACATGTTGACTCATTCATACACGTACACATCAAACTGACGAACGTATATGCACCCAGTACGTGATTCATTAACCTTTTCTTTTGTGGGTTTCCAAAAATATATTAAGTTTTTCAAGTATATGTTTACGTATAATACACCCTTTCTGATATTTCGAAACACTACGAAAGATTAACCTATTGGTTCCTCAACTTTTTTATAATTTCTTGAGGACTGTAACTTCGTACGCTCCTTCTCAAAAGTCAAAAGTTAAAAGTAAACGGCGAATAGTGAATACTTTTGCATTTTTCTCCTACATATATGGCTCACCAGAGAGACATTTTTGTATATCTATCTGATCTTGAGTAAACTTTTCTAGCTACTACTATCTCTCATGGCTTCTTCCTCTTCCCCTCGTACTTGGAGATACCGTGTCTTCACGAGCTTCCACGGATTAGATGTCCGTACAAGCTTTCTTAGTCATTTTCGCAAACAGTTTAACAACAACGGGATTACGATGTTCGATGATCAAAAAATCGTAAGAGGCGAAACCATTAGCCCTGCGCTCACGCAAGCGATTAGCGAATCTAGAATCTCCATCGTGGTGCTCTCGAAAAACTATGCTTCTTCTAGTTGGTGTTTGGATGAGTTGTTGGAGATTTTGAAGTGCAAGGAAGATATTGGACAAATAGTAATGACTGTCTTCTACGGAGTAGATCCATCTGATGTGCGAAAACAAACTGGAGATTTCGGGAACGCTTTCAATGAAACTTGTGCTCGTAAAACAGAGGAGGACAGGAGAAAATGGAGCCAAGCTTTGAGCTACGTAGGCAACATAGCCGGAGAACACTCCTTAAACTGGTTTGTCATTACTTAAATTTAATTTTTGCTTAGTTATCCATAAAACAAAAAGACAATCAAAACACAACAAATTGTAGTTTGTCTAAGAGGAATTATATAATAAAATTACAATGATTTAGAGAATTAATGTTTGTTAGAGTGTTATCTGTGGCAAAATAATGATTTAAAGGATTAATATGTTTGATTCGAAATAGATTTAGCTGTGGCAAAATACGAATGTTATCTCTATGACAATTTAATGGAAACAGTTTTTATTTTCTTCTTCTACGTACTACACTAGGGATAATGAAGCCCAAATGATCGAGAAAATTGCAAGAGATGTTTCAGACAAACTGAATGTTACACCATCTAGGGATTTTGATGGCATGGTGGGGATGGAGGCTCATTTGAGGAAAATTCAGTCTTTGCTAGATTTAGATAATGATGGGGTAAAGATGGTTGCAATCGCTGGTCCTGCAGGCATAGGTAAAAGTACTCTTGCCAGAGCTCTACATAGTCTACTCGGTGATAGGTTTCAGCTTAATTGTTTTGTGGACAACCTGAGGGGAAGTCATCCCATTGGTCTTGATGAGTATGGTTTGAAGTTGCGCTTACAAGAACAACTTCTTTCAAAGATTTTTAACCAAGATGGTACTAAAATCTACCATTTAGGTGCGATAAAAGAGAGGCTATGCGACGTCAAAGTGCTTATCATTCTTGATGATGTGAATAATGTCAAGCAATTAGAGGCTTTGGCTAATGAAAGCACTTGGTTTGGTCCTGGAAGTAGGATTATTGTGACAACCGAAAACAAAGAGCTTTTGAAGCGACATGGTATCAACAATACGTACGATGTGAAGTTTCCTTCTGATGCAGAGGCTATCGAGATCTTATGTAGATATGCATTTAGATCATATCAAGAAAGATATGCTTTTCTTGAAAACTACCCAAATAATGGCTTTGGAAGGCTGTTAAGGGTAACAGAGCTTTGTGGTAAGCTCCCGTTGGGTCTACGTGTGGTGGGTTCATCTTTACAAGGGAAGAATGAGGAAGAATGGGAATTTGTAATGCGGAGGCTAGAAACTATCATTGATCGAGATATCGAGGAAGTACTAAGAGTCGGTTATGAGAGCTTACATGAGAATGAGCAATCTCTATTTCTTCACATTGCAATCTTCTTCAACAATGAAGATGGTGATCTTGTGAAAGCCATGCTCGCTGACAATGACTTAGATATCCAACACGAGTTGAACATCCTAGTAAACAAATCTCTCATATATATAGCTACGGATGGGAGAATAAGAATGCATAAGTTACTACAACAAGTGGGCAGACAAGCCAATCAGAGACAAGAGCCTTGGAAACGTCGGATCTTAATTGATGCTCAAGAGATCTGTCATGTTCTTGAAAATGATACGGTAAGTTTTTTTTTTTTTTTTTGGTTTTCGTTAGTTCCTTGGCTCCTTACACTTAAGAAAATTCAAGTGAAGACAAACAAATCTTACCTATTTTGCTAACAGTTTATTTATATACTAAACATGTTTTAGGGTACTGGAGCTGTGTCTGGCATATCATTTGATACAACAGGAATTAACGAAGTGAGTATAAGCAATAGAGCTCTAAGAAGAATGTGTAATCTTCGATTTCTAAGTGTGTACAAAACAAGACATTATGGGTACTATAATAATAGAATGGATATACCAGAGGACATGGAGTTTCCACCTCGCCTAAGGTTACTGCATTGGGATGCATACCCAAGTAAGTGTCTTCCTCTTAAATTCCGCGCGGAAAATCTAGTCGAACTCGATATGCAGAGTAGCCGGCTCGAGTACCTCTGGCAAGGAACTCAGGTTAGTTATCATAGTCAAATAATTTTGTAAATCAAATTCAAATAAGGAATGAATAAAACTCGGATGGAATAAGAGAATTCTCATTTCATGTTATCTAGCTTATGCGGATTTTTTTACATTCAGCTGCTGACAAAACTGAAGAAGTTAGATTTGAAAGGTTCATATATGTTGAAGGAACTCCCAGATCTTTCATATGCAACAAATTTGGAGATGTTGGATCTAAGTGACTGCCTTAGTTTGACGGAGCTTCCATCTTCTATTAGGAATCTTCATAAACTAGATATCTTAAATATGGATATCTGCGAAAGGCTTCAAGTCATACCAAATGACATCAACTTGGCATCTCTTAGGGGGGTGTACATGACTGGATGTCCACAAATGAAGACTTTTCCAGATTTCTCTACAAACATTAAGAGCCTATGTCTTGTCAGGACAGGGATAGAAGAAGTGCCTGCATCAGTTAGGCATTGCTCTCGACTTTTGGATATTGATTTAAGTGGCAGTCGAGATCTCAAGAGCATAACACATCTACCATCGAGTCTGGAAACACTAGATCTAAGCTCTACTGATATCGAGGTGATTGCAGATTGTATCAAAGGTTTACAAAAGTTATACAGCCTTCGTCTATATCGCTGCCGGAAACTGAAATTATTACCAGAGCTTCCTGCTTCGCTCATGTTCCTAACTGCAGAGGATTGTGAATCACTGGAGAAAGTAACTTACCCTTTAAACACTCCCGTAGTGCAGCTCAATCTCAGCAACTGCTTCAACCTTGGTACTTACCCTTTAAACACTCTAGAAGCGCGGCTCAATTTCAGCAACTGCTTCAAACTTAGTGAAGAAGCACAGAGAGTAATTATCCAACGGTCTCTTGCCAAGCACGCGTTGTTCCCTGGAAGCGTAGTGCCTAGTGAGTTCAATCACAGAGCCAGAGGTAACTCTCTGAACATTTGTCTTACATCTTCTGTGTCCTCCACGTATAAGGCTTGCGTGGTGATTGCGCCTAACCAGCCCCTATCCGAAAGAAACGAAAGACGAATTGAACTACGGTGCAATGTCACATGCAAAAGGGGATGGTATATTGGAAGTGAAGTAGTTTCCTTAGAGCACCCTAATCATTCCGCCGGAATCCGAACGAAGCATCTGTGTGTATTTAATGGTGTCTTGCATGAAGTTAGAAGAGACGCATTGTTTGTATTCCAAATCAGCGCCTACAATCCTTTGGACAACTACAAGATTACTGAATGTGGTGTACAAATCTTGACAAGCGAACGGAAGAGAATCAGCGACAGTGACAGTGAAGATTACGACAACTCGGACCACGAGGTTGGTCTGAACGACGTGTTGGAAGGTTCTGAAGATGGACTAGTCAGCTGCGACTCGGAATCAGACGACGCGTCCTGATGAACTAGGCACTCTCTTGTAAAATGCTCTGTGCATCTTATTTGAGGTTAGGGATAGAGTATTATATATGGGCTTGGGCCTATCGATAAACCTGGTCCAGAAAAATTAAAAATAAAAATGTTTTAATTTAAGTCTATGCGTGTGCGTGTCTATGATTTACACCACTAATAATAGTGGAATGTTATTGTTTTCTTCTATCTACAATTTGTAACGTACGTAATTTAATTGTCTCTTTTCGTGCAACACATTAACTTAGTCTTCAAGCGGTGAATACTATAAAAAAAAAAAAAACATTGAATAGAGGGATGATAAAACAATTTAGATGATAATTGAATAGTAGCCATGCATTTTGTTGTACCCGTGTGCAAAATATCATTGTGAATTATTATAAATTATTGATCTGGAGCCAAGTTTTGTTTCTATATATATTATAGAATCTTTTAGTTACGTTACGGGAACTTGAAATTATTTATTTATGGATTTGTTTTCTTGCTTCTTTTGTACTACACATACTCCATTTTCAAACAAAAAAAGAGAAAAAGAAAAGAGAGATTTTACATTTTTAAATTAAAAAATAGAAAAGTGAAAAAAGTAAAATTGGTTTTCACTGTTTCTGTCTCAACTTTCACCATCTCACTTACCAATAAAGCCCCACATTTTTACTTCTCTTTCCGTCATTCCAAATTACCATTATACCATTCATTCACACATCCATAAACTCAAAAGTTAATGACATATTTAGCATCTTCTCCCCCTCTTTTATAAAAACTTATTTTTGTTGTGTAAACATTTCTCAATAAACTTAAACTATGTAAACCTTAATTTTAATCTTAAAGCTGTATTTAGTGTGTGAAGTGTATCACAATTCACAAGTTGTTGTCTCTTAAACATAAAAAAGACAAAAAGAAGAAGAACAAGTCTATTTTTCTTCCTTTTTTTTTTATATGTTCCACAGTCATCATCATAACTAAACTACATGACAGCAAACCATAACATCTAAATTCCACGACTCTCACTGCTACAATGCTTGACCAAATTTAAGCTACAAACAAAACAACTATATTTACAAATAACACATATATGATTATTATATGGTGTTAATGCAAAGAGAGAATCAAAAAACGGTTGAGATTGATTCGGCTCTTGGAAACTAAACAAAATATAAAAGATTACGATTCTCTCATTTCTCGTAAGAGGAAGGTTCACTCACCGATCTTGGTAACACCGACGAATCCTTATCTGAAACAAATCAAAAACTTTTAATCATAAGAATTTAGAAATGTTTATTATGTTAATTGAGAGATTACACTAAATTAATTTTAATTTTACCTCTAGAGGAATTGAAAGATCTTTTGCAGTGTAAAATTGCGCTTTGAATACTATCTTGCTGTTGAAGAAGCGAGTCGTCGCGTCTTCTTGACTCAGACTGAGTCGTAACAGTCGCCGCCGTAGACGACGGTGTCGTCGCCGTTGACGATGACGACCTGCTTTTTCCCAAGTGTTTCCTCACTACCTTAAGACCTGCTGGAATGTTCATGTTCATGTTCATGTTCACGTTGTTCCCCGTTTTATTCGTCTTCTTAGTCGCCGGAGATTCCGTTTTCTCCGTAGTGGTTCTCGCCGCCGGTGACGGAGCTGTTAATTGACCGGAGTGTCGTGATTTCTCGCCGTAACGACGCGAAACTCTGATGTAAAGAGGCTTCACCTTCTTTAAGTACTTCTGCATCATCATAAAGCGTTTCTCGTCTGAAACGACAGATTCGTTGCCGTTTTGCTTCTTCAGTGTAAAAGACGACGAAGATGAAGAGGAGGAAGACGATGATGAGTTCTTGGAGCTGTTCTCTCTTGTGAATAGAGATATGATCGGAACGTCTTCAACTTTTAAATTAACAGTCACCGTACTTTTCTGTTGCGATTCCGGCGAGTGCGACGACGGCGGCGGCGGCGGAGGAGGAGGATTTTGCTTGTCGATGTCTTCAGATCCGAGAATAGCTTCCGATTTCGCTTGGATAAGCTTCGATTTCTTCATTCCGAGCATGAACACGCGGAGCTTAGTGGCGGATTTCAAAATCGACGCCGATAACTGCGCCGCCGGAGCTTTGACGGAACAAGTCTGCTGCTCCGAAGAAGACGGTGGTTCGGCCTCTTCGACAATCGTCTCCTTGAAGAAAACATCGTCAAGGGAATCTGGATCTACTCGATCTTCTCCGCCGGAACAAGACGAGAGAGTGAACTTGTACTCACAGCCGCCGTCCGTACAATCGGAAATGGAATCTCCTTCTCCACCTCTTCCTCGGTCTTCTTCTTCTTCTTCGTCGGCTGGAAGAGCGAACTCAAGGTCGAAGAAGGGTCCTTCGTCGTTGTCGTTGTCGTTGTCATCAGCTTCTTCATCCTCAGTTTCTGTGACGGAGGTGGTGACGATGGTGGTGGAATCGCCGGCGGAGTAACGGCAAGAAGAAGAAGAGTCGGAGGAATGAGGGAGGAAAGCAACAGCAGCAGCACCACCACCATTGCTTTTCCAGTAGTTAAGAAGACTGAAAGCTTCCATTGTTGGGAAAGCCAGAATCACTTCTACACTCTTTTTTCCTAAAACGCTGCGTTTTTTTTTGTCAAAGCTTTTCTTTTCTTTTCTTCTTCAAAGTCTCCTTTTACATGACAACAAAAGAGATGGGTTTTACTACGCTGCTTGTTTGAGAAGAGTCAAGAAACATATATTTATATCTAAAATAATCATTAATATCGTTTTTTCCCTATAGATAAAATAATAAAATATGGTGTTCTTTATTGCTTAAAAACACTATGCTAACTTTTAACATGGCAAGACTTGATTGGTCTTTTTTAATTACACAATCGGTTATAGTTCATTGCTGTTCATAAGTCTATAATTAGTCATTTTACTTACATGGTAATGGTAGTTGTACTTATCTCTTTATAAACATTGCTGTTCATAAGTACAAATAAATCTCTACTTATTAATTACTTGTACAGTTTTTGGTGTGATTATACATTAATGTCGAATTTCGTAAGAAAATACGGACATACAAAGAAAAAAACAAGCTTTGGATGCTGTTTAGGAAAAAAAATTGAATTTATTTCACAATAAAACAAAATTTATTTTTTTTGTCATAAATTTTTTTAATTAGATTAGAATTCTCTTTGTATTTACCTTATTTTACAAAAGAAGCAGAGCCAAAAGAGATGTACAGTACTACTATTAAATAAGAGAAAAATCGTGGCAAAGAGTTGTGTTGTGTTGTGTTGCGTTGCTAAGCGTAAGGGAGCAGATGAGTCACGTGACTTGCAGAATTCAGACGACGACTGGGACAGTCAGACCAAAAGGTCAGAGATCATTAAAGTATTACATACGGTACTCTTTTATTTTCTACTCCCCCCCCCCCCACATCTCATCATCTTCATAGTACAACACTTCCACAGCATTTGAGAACACAAAATTAGTAGCGCAGGCAAATTTCTCCAGCTATGTTTTTTAGTTCAAATTTACGAATTACGAGAATTGTGTTTTAACATAATTACTCTATTAATCAGTTTGGGCAATCGGACAAAATCGTTGGCGTCGCTTACAGAGTGTCTACTTAAAATAAATAAATAAACTGATTCGGAGAGAATCTATAAACTAGAAGAGTAGTTGTATATATAAATGTAAAAATTTATAGTTCCGAGACGTATATTATTAACATCATCATTATTTGCCGAAATCAATTTTCAGATTCAGTGGATCATATAGTAGTAGACCCCCCCCCCCTTCCAAAGTTTGTATTATCACCATTCTTTAATGGGCCTCATCAAGTTCCGAAGATGATGGGCCCTTTACACTATTCTTTTTTGTATGAATCCAATTTAACTTTCCTACTTTTTTTTTTTTTTCCTATTTTACTCTAATCCAATTCATGGGTTCAACTCATTATTAATATATATCTAGTCTTTTTTTTTTATTAAATCAACTAATATATTTAGTCTTTCGATGTAAAATTAGTACGAAAGTCAATTAATTTCTAGTTGAGATTTTAATTCAATATTTCATTAATCATTACAATATTGATAAATTAATGGAACACACTCTTGTCAAAATAAGACAAAAATAAAAAGTATTTTGTTTTTCTTCTTTCTTTATCGTAATTAGTTCTTTATCAAACAAAATTCATAAAGGGCAAAGCACTTTCAAAAGCAAGTCAAAGAAGCTATAGAGAGTCACTCGTTCTTTTATAGGCTTCCCCCCTGAAATTCAGCTTTAGTGGATTTTGTTACATTTGTTTTTTTTTTAATAAGATTGAGATTGGTACAATATAATTATATATATAAAAAAATGTATGCATTGTAGTTTTGATTCTAAGTGAGTGATCCAATTTTTTTTATAACTAATTTCACAAAATTTCATAAGTACTATGCTTCAATATTGTATTTCCGTCCAGCTCAATGATTAAACTATATAAATAAATAGTACCTATTTTAATTAAATGGTTGATCCCATATAATTTCAGATACTTGTATAAACATAAGCTCTCTTTATCCTGTTGATCACGAGAAGAATATATTACTACTACCCTAAGTAAAATCTGATCTTGTCGGGCTAATTGTTTGGCATGATGTCGCAATAGTAAGCTCTATCTATTTGATTTCCATAGGGGGTATTAATTAAGCTACATGTACCTTTTTAAAATATAAAATATGTAATAATTAAAGTCGGATGTGTATATGATTTATAAGCCATATTAACATGGTCCCAAAACATATATTTAAATGCACTATAGAAAGAAAGAAATCAAGAAAAGGGAAATAAGACAATGTGATTATAACCACAACTAGATTTTGTCTTATATGACTAATCAATAAATATGATCAGTACCCAATATGCCGAAAGCATCAACTTATAGCACCGTTTTATATCAAACAAAGATTTATACTTTAAACTACCAAACACTTTGAAGATCACTATTAAGAAATGTGCCGGGGATGAAAGATTAATTATGTTTTAACAAGCATAATTTATCCCCCGAATATTATTTTTTCTAAGTACTTACAACAATAAGAAACCATATTTTACAAGAAAGTACTACTTTAAATATATTATGATGCCCATGGAGTACACATTTATGAACACCCTTGATGCAATAGAGAAAGTAAATGACATAACCATGCTTTCATGTACCACAAACTTTATGTCGTGTTAAAAGTATTTACCAAAATGTGAATTTTGCTGCACGTTGGATCTCGTTATCCCTGTGAAGTAGATCATTTATATATGAAAATGCATAAATTTCTATTCGTAATCAAATCTCTTCCCTTTAGCAATCGTCCATCTTTTATTCATAATACTATCCTTTTTTTATCATTGCTTCTTTTTTTATCAACAATGATAAAAAAATGCTGAGAACAATAAAAATGATATTATACTTTCATGAAGTGAACCCTACACTTTTAGAACTTATAAAATACACAATTTGTTATGAGTTTTGTTGCTTATAATTGTACTTCACCTTTTGGGCCTTCCAATAAAAATTCTCACAGGCCCAAATAAAAAAGATCATCCTAGCATTGTATTTGATCCCTGACATGCCACTACGTCGTATTAAGTCTCAACCTTCTCCACGACCATGTGCTGACCTGTCCAACGTTACACTGACGGAGACGTTAATAGGATTTGGACATCTCTTCAATTCGATTAAATAGTTTAACGGTCGTTTGTCTTCCGTCTCAAAGATGTTACTTTTATTTAATAGTATTTTCTTAGAATGTAAGCTATTATTTCCAACGGCCAAGATTGAGTTAGATAAATCGACGGATAAGATTGAATCTGTATCAAACGCTCTTATTTAGGAGAGAGGTGTCTGTGAGAGACTTGAGAGAGTCTTTTTATTTTCTTCTCCGTTTCTCACTCATCGCTTACTGAAACCAGAAAACGGTTTTAGGGTTTTTGCGGAGGTTTCAAGGTAACGAAGTCAACAATGGCGGAAGAGCATAAGCACGAAGAATCAATCATGGAGAAGATAGCTGAGAAGATCCATGGTCACGATGACTCTTCTTCTTCTTCCGATTCAGATGACGATAAGAAATCTTCCACTCTCAAAACCAAGATTTATCGCCTTTTCGGAAGAGAACAGCCTGTTCACAAGATTTTTGGTGGCGGAAAACGTATGGATCTCTCCTTTTCTCTCTTCTCCAGATTTTGATTTTGCTTTTCATTTTTTTTATCGAGGAATCATCGATTAGTGACTTTAGTTATCGGATCTGGATTCTATCTTTTACCTGCGCCATTGATTGTGAAGTTTTGCTGTATGCTTACTTGAGCCTAGGATTTATTAGTAACTGAGCTGTTGTTGTAGTGTAGATCAGTGTTGTTATTATACTTACTTGAGCCTAGGAGTTCTTCGTTACCGAGCTGTTGATGTTGTAGATTTGTTTTGTTGCTTGGATTGAGTATAAATTCACAAAATCTGGATGGGAGAAGTATTTAAACGAGGGATCTGATTTGTTGTTGTTGGTTTATAATTATACACCTTGTTCTGAAATCTCTGACAGGATCTATGGAATGAGTGATTTCGTATGTCAGAATCTTTAATTTTTTTGGATTCACTGTTTTGATTCTCAGCTGCCGACATTTTCCTATGGAGGAACAAGAAGGTATCAGGAGGAGTGTTGGGTGCTGCAACTGTTTCTTGGATCTTATTTGAGTTACTTGAATACAATCTCCTTACTCTTTTTGGCCACATTTCAATCCTTACTCTTGCAGTATTGTTCTTGTGGTCAAGTGCTACTACCTTCATTCACAAGTAAGTTTTAATGGGTGAATGTTTATCTTCAGTGTGAGATTGATGTTAATCCATGGTCTCTTAAAGCTGATTTTTGCATTACAGGACACCTCCTCACATCCCTGAAGTTCACATCCCTGAGGAAGTTGTTCTTCAGCTTGCTTCTGGACTTAGAATTGAAATCAACCGTGGATTTACTGCTCTTAGGGACATCGCATCAGGAAGAGACCTCAAGAAGTTTCTTTTGGTAAAACTTTTTGTTAATTATGTTGTTGTTTGATTTTGCTGGTTTCTCGTTTTTTCTTACATTGGTTTGCAAATATGTATTAGGTGATTGCTGGTTTATGGGTTTTGTCCAAAGTTGGTAGCTCCTGCAACTTCTTGACCTTAATCTACATTGGTACCAAACTACTAGTCCATACTCTTATTTCAACTAATTTGATAACATTTTGCTAGTTGTGTTTTATTTCCTTCTTTCTAATGTCTAATTTTCTTTTCTCTGCTTGCAGCAACTGTACTTCTCTTCACAATTCCCGTGCTGTACGAAAAGTATGAAGATAAAGTAGATGACTTTGGTGAAAAGGCAATGAGGGAGATCAAGAAGCAATATGTGGAGTTCGATGTGAAGGTTTTAAGTAAGGTGATGAGCAAAATTCCTAAAGGAGCGGCCTTTTACAAGAAGAAGGATTAGAGAGTGTGTAAGTTTCTCTCATCATCATCATCATCATCTGAGAGTCTTCCAGATTGATATAAAGTCTCGAAGCATTGTTTTTTTTCTCTTACTTGGTTTTAGCAGCTGTTGGTTAAACACTCAAATCTCTGCTATGTGGGTGGAATTTATTCGGGGTTTAACCAAATTTTATAGCATATTGAATGATTCTGTTTTTGGTATACCATTGTCTCCATGAATCTTATTAATGATGAATCTCTGAATATTCTAAAGTTTTGAGAATATTTTTTTCCACATCAGGACAAAAAAATGTAGAGGTTTATGTATTTCGTTGGCTGCTAATTTGTAAGACTTTAAAAACAAAGTCAACTTAATAAGTTGAGCAAAATTAGATTTTATGTCCAAATAATATTAAGCGGTCAATGAATCAACCAAATAGGTTGATTCATCGTCGGGCCAAGGGAGACACAATTACAACAAAGAGTGTACCTTCTTTGAGGGAAGGTACTTTTGTAGGAGATGAATTGAAATTGAGTGGTGGGTCTCATTATGTCAAAAGCTTAGATGATGCGATTGTTTTGTTTGATGACATGGTTCGATCTCGTTCCTTGTATTCGGCAATCGATTTCAATAAACTAATGGGCGTGGTCGTCAGAATGAATCGATCTGATGTTGTGATTTCTCTCTACAAGAATATGGAAAGGCTCAGGATTCCGTGTAATATCTACAGCTTCACCATTCTTATAAAATGTATTTGCAGCTGTCGTAAGTTGTCCTTGACTCTGTCTACATTTGGGAAGATCACCAAACTTGGTTTCCACCCTGATGTTGTTACGTTTAACACGCTGCTTCACGGGTTATGTCTAAAAGATAGGATCTCTGAAGCCGTTGCTTTGTTTGATCTCATATGGTTGAAACGGGATGTACACCCAATGTCGTAATGTTTTGTTAACAGATTTTTGGATATGATGTTCATTTCGGCTTAGTCAGCGAAAGATGATGTTTTAAAAACTAAGATAACGTCGAAAGTTCGTGATTTAAATGACATTTTCCCAATAATTATGTGCATCTTGTTTGTTTTGGATTTTCATTTTGTAAAATTAAAAATCGTATAAAAAGAATCGTAATAATTTTTTCATAATTATAGAGCAGTTCGTATTCTTCAAAAGATATTGTTCGATAATCCTGTTATCAAAATAAAAGATAATACTCTTTTTATAATAACCTAAGTAGGTGCATTGTGGCAGTACTACTATTAAGCTGATGGAGCCACGCTGCCGCATAGCGAGCAAATACATTCATGGTTAACACATGTTTGGTATCTACAAAATGAGAAACAACTATTTGCGCAATCTCGATCGCTAAAGCAACTCCCAAAATATTGTTGTGTATGCTTTGGTGGACACTCTCCTCCAACACACTCCACATTTTGTGGACGTGGAAGCTCCCTTGCACTTGACATCGACACAACTATACATACACAATTCATTCAATCATATTAATATATATTTAATCATGAGAGAAGAAAAAGAGAGTGACATATAGATAGAGAGAGGAAGAGAGACTTACATGAGAGAAGGATTGCGGCAAGAACAATGAGCAATGCTGTCTTTGAGACTGCCATAGCTTTTCAACTTTTTGGTCTATATGTTTAATATTCGAAATGATGAGATTCTATTGTATATTATGGTCTTTGTGGCTATTTATATTGTTGTGGTACGAAGCGTCAAGGAAGGTATATAATCTTTTGGGTGACCGTATTATGTAAATACATTGTGGACTTTACATATATAGTCCAGTCAGAGTCAATGAATCGATACGATATAGAAAGATTCACTATTCAATTCAATATTTGATATTTACATCCATAAGTAGATTTTGAAATTAACATATTTTGTTATTGGATTTGAATATTTCTATTTTTCACCTTCCAAGTCCATATAAAATATATGCTAGATTTGGAAATCCAAAAACAAATCACGACATGAATGAATCACACTTAATGTCTAAATTCATTAAATAATCCTTAATCGAATAATCCCCACTGAAGATCAACATTGAAAATACAAATAAACTTTAGCAATATTATCATTTTTATTCTCTTTTATTGTTAACCATCGAACAAAATTCACCATAATATTACATTACCAAATTTCATCATAATCCATCACCGTACACGTGTGTTCTTTTCATTTTCCTAGTAACCAACCATTTGATGATGATCATCATCATTACAAGAAGTAAGTGAGTTGTTCTTTCTTCCTCGATCCTCCTTCTCCATACAACTCATTCCACTGCTTCAACTCTCCCATTCCCGCTCCCTCCGCCGCAAAACTCGCAGCCACCTGCGTTTTCAATACTCAGAAACGTTTTAGAAACGCAAACGCCATTTACATATCCACACAGTTAATGCGTAAATGTAATAAACCACTACTGTGTGTATTTTCACCTGGTTCTTGGCTTCTTTGAAGTCTTGTCTGTTCAAAGGACGAAGTGTAATCACTCTCTCCTCCTTCCCTTCATCCTCTTCACCCGCCTTTGAAGTCTCTCTCTGCTTCTTCTTCTCCTTCAAACATCAAAACCGAGTAACAGTCGAATCAAAACCAAAATGACTGAACTAATAGTAAAAAAGATCGAATTATTACCGTATCTTTGATCCTCTCCTGTTGTATAAGCTCCCTCACAGGCCTATAAGCTGCTGTTGTGCACAGATTCTGTTCATCGAATCAAACAGTCAAGCTCTCTTCTTTCATATCTTTACTACACATTCAAGAAACAGATGTATCAATGAAAATAAAATATCTAACCTTGAGATCACTTCCTGTGTATCCATCTGTCATCATCGCTAGTTCCTTGTAATCCAAGTTTTCATCTACTTTCTCTTTAGCCAACAATGTCCTCAGAATCTTCTCTCTGTTCTCTACAGCTGGTAGTCCCACCATGATCCTGCTTAACAATAAACCCAGTGAGTTTGTTAAACCTAAGTTTAATGGAAAGGGGTTAAAAGCGTACAGATTAAGTTTGTACCTTCGTTCGAACCTTCTGATGATGGCCTCGTCTAGATCAAAAGGCCGATTCGTAGCAGCAAGGACTAAGATACGCTCACCAGGTTTAGTCATTAATCCATCCCAATGACTCATAAACTCATTCTTTATCTTTCTCATAGCTTCATGTTCTCCAACTCTTGTTCTCTGTCCCAACATACTATCAACTTCATCCACAAATATAATGGTTGGTGACACTTTCGATGCCAGTGTAAACAAAGCTCTAACATTCTTCTCGTCTTCTCCAAACCATTTCGAAGTTATTGTAGACATTGAAACGTTTATGAAACTTGCTCCTGCCTCTCTCGCGATGGCTTTAGCTAGCATTGTTTTACCAGTACCCGGTGGACCGAAGAGTAAGATTCCTCTGCAGGGCTTTAAGAGCCCTCCTGTGAAGAGGTCTGGTCTACGGAGAGGAAGCATTACAAGTTCTTGTAGTGATTCTTTTATGTCGTCAAGAGCACCAATGTCTTCAAATGTCACATTAATTTCTTCTGCTGGGATTACTTCTGGTCTTATTCTTTTCTCAAACTCGTTATCCGGTGGGACTTCCTGTTAAATATGTTTAACACAATTGTAAAAGTTTGTTTCTTCGAAATTTTTATGAATCATTAAGTAGATAAACAAAACTTACCTGTTTTGGGGTTACTTTCTCAGGTTCAGCTGCTTTCTCCGGTTCGTTCTTGCTGCTTGTGGTGGTGACACTCTCTGGTTTTGTCTCCGGCTTGACATCCGCCACTAGTTCAGCTTTTACTTCCTACAACAGTGAAGAAAAGACAAAATGTCTCATCAATGCTTCTGCTCTGTTTCAGTCTTAATCCTCTATTTTTAGCTAAAAACAGAGTATAGAGAGATATAGACCTTAGATTTTTCTTCCTTAGTTTTTTGCTTCAGCTTCTCACGACCGCCCGCTTTACCTTCTCTGAAGAGGCTGAATCCATGCGATAAACTAACCACACAAGATAGACTAAATGAGTACCAATACTGCTGTAGAGGTTTGTTTGTTAAACAAGTTAGGGCATTTCTGACCTTGTAGAAGATATCACCAGCTTTCCGTTTCTGTACTCAGGATCTTTGTTATTCATCAGATGATACGAAAGCGCAGAGACAACAATCTCTTCAATGTAATTGCTTAAAACCTTCGTGTCCTCAAAAGAGATCGATTCAAGGTCATCGCATATGAGATCATTCTCAGACAAAACTTCCATGATATGGTTCCTATTGTCCTGAGTTTGGATCATGTTCATGTCGCGTTCAAGCTGCGATTTCCAGCTCACTAGATGGGTCTCATCCTCAGGCGGTCTTATGTCAATATTATAAGGGAAAACAGAAGAGAGCTTCTCATCAATTTCTTGAGCGTCTTCGCTTGACAAGTCTACGATTCTTGAACCAAGAATTAGGACCGGTCCACTGAGTTTCTGGAGAAGCTTTTGGAACAAGTTGTAAGTTCTCTGTGAGCGGAACAGAAAGTTCTCAACGTCTCGAAGATATAACACAATCGGATTCGCCTTGGAGACATAGGCCAAGACCTGCACTTGACATTTGCAAGATCTTATAAACAAGATTCGAACAACCTAAATACATAGATTTACACATTACCTTATACTCTTAAAATGTTATACATTACCTTATACTTTTAAAATTTTATACATTACCTTATACTCTTAAAATTTTATACATTACCTTATATAAAGATTGGATGAGAAGCTTTTCGTCGAATGACCAACTGCTAGTACGCTTCAAAGGCGCTGAACCTAAGATCAAATATTAATCGATGAGTCGGAAGGAATGAAGAGCAAAAGTTTCAATCTTGTTTGTGGAGAGGCACATGATAACCTTGATTTGATGAAGATGCAAGATTGCTAATATTAGCTGCTGCTGAAGAGTTTCGACGAAGCTTTGGAGGATTACTAGAGCCTTCCATCGAGCTGCGTGGATCACGCGGTAATTAAAGGATAAAATTATGCATTAGTTTGATTGCGAAACATTAACGGATATCAGCATTGCTTAAAATTTGAAGTAAAGGAAAACGAAACGCAACCTTGATTTGATATCCACACCACTGCTTTGCCTCCTCAAGGTACCACCAGCTGAACAGAACAATGTTAATATTAGTAGTAAAACCGATGAAAGTCTAAACTATCAGGGCTAGTTGATCACCAAGTCCATTCATCAACGAACAATGACTATATTTGTAAGTCATTAAACCGATGAAAATCGGAATTATTAAGGCTAGTCGATGACCTTTACGTGGATCAGCATAGAGTAGACGATTTAACATTTGACCGGGACAAAAGTTTGATTTACCACCTTTAGGCTCTTCTCTCTGAGGAAGGATGGAGAAGGAGCTAAACAGCCCTGATAGTTGCTCTAAAGCAGATTCTGAGGGAGATCTCTTGAATGACTACAATAACCAACAACAACAAAATCCGGATTTATCTGTTTAGATCATTTCCAAGAAACCAAACGCAATTAGCAAACCAAATCAGTAAACAACAGCTTACAGATGATTCTGTATTCCCGCTGCCGTATTTGCTTTGTATCTGCAAACACAGTCAAGAAGATTTCAGGTTCAACAAAAGAAAGACACACAATAAGAAACATATAATCTCATATTTTTGTTTGTTTTAGAGTTACAGAAACCTTGAGTGCAAAATCGTTGACGTCTAGGAGAAGTAACTTGGCGTCGAAGAAATGAGCTAGGGCTTTGGCTAGCATTTGTTGGTAAAGCTCTGGAAAAGAAACAAATTTAAGAATCAAAACATAAAACGAATTGGTTCAAGAACAAGATGAAGACCGGATCATCGGAAGCTAACCGGCAGGGCCGGACAAGAGAATGGCTCGGCTAGCTGGAGACAAGTTTCTCGCATATTTCGAAGCATCAAAGTGCTTCAAATGGACATAAGCTGCACTTGTTAGAAGCACACGTGTCTGTTCACTGCACAATCCCAAAACAACAATACTAAATCCAGACATTTTGGGATAAAGTCATAAAGATCACTTGATCTAAAGTGTTAATGACACGTGTCGGGATCGAAAAAACACAAAAAACAATGATCTGCACCTTCTTTTTTTTTTTTTTTATCTATTTATATCTTATCCGTTTTTACAAATCTACACATATATAATATATAAAGAAATTATCCAAAAAGAAATGTGATGACTCGTATAATTTTATCATCATTTCAATATATATAACTTGTATTATCTTCTTGATATTCGCAATTCTGTAAAACTAGGATTCCCAAACTATACCCTAAAAGTGCCGATCAAAGCATAACGAAAGAATATATAATTTTATCACAAGAATTATCTTTACATAATGACAATTTATATATATATACATCTTAAAGTCTAGTTGAAATTTGAAGTAAAATTATGGGATCTTTCGATGTAAAAAAAGAAGAAGCAATTTAAACTTACTTACCTGAGATAATAAGGGAACTCATCGAAAGTAATCTTGCTCTCTCTGCCGTCAACAACTTGACGGAGTATTTCCTTCTCCATCTTATCTGCCGTGACGGCGTTATTAGACGACGAAGAGTTCACGCCGGTCCATTTACCGACGGCTTGACCCGAAGCCAAACCCAAACCCAC